GTGACCCCCAACCATAAAAATATTTTTGTTGCTACTTCATAACTGTCATTTCGCTACTGCTTTGAATCATCATGTAAATATCTGGTATGCAGGATACATTTTCATTGTTGCAAATTGAACATAATTAAGGCATAGTGATTAATCACAAAAACGTAATTATATATTGTGAAATAATTTATTTCTAATGATAAATCAATGAAATTTTGTCATGAAACATGGTGTAGCATGGGTAACAGACTTCACGCCAGGTGGGCGTATCTGCATGTGGGCGGACCTGCCTGGAGACAGATAGAGGAGCGTTGTCTTGGTTCCTGACCATCGGGAAATATGTGTTTTCCGATGGTCTTAGAGGACCCCTGTGAAAGGGTCATTCGACCCCCAAAGGGGTTGAGACCCACAGGCTGAGAACCGCTGCTTTAAGTCCTCAAACACTTTTTCCTGAGAGCCAGGCACCATCTGCTTTCTTCACACTTTGCCACGGTCCTCAGATCTCCAATGGTCTCTTCATGAGGGCAAGTACTGGGCAGGGCCCTATCACAGGAACTCGTTTTTCTTATATTAGGGCTTCGATCAAGCGAGAGCTCAGGATCCATTCCTACAACTACACCCATATGGCAAACCCTTCTGAAGTGGACAGCCTATTCCTTCTGTGTCGTCTGGTCTGAGTCTGGAAGCTCTGCTAAAATCTGCTCACTCTGGTGACCCTGCTGGTACTTGAAATACCGGTGACCTCGCTTCCAGCATCACAGCAACATACAAGACACCACAGTACCACAAACTGATAGACCAGTGGTAGTATGAGGTGTGCCCCCCCCCCCCATTTCCAGAAACAATTGAGTGTCCTAGAGTGTAAAAGACTGGTCTTAGGTCACCCAGCTAGGCAGAGGTAACAGGACCAGGCTGTGTGGATTCAGAGTCCCCAGCTCCTCACTGGACATGAAGAATCTGGAACCTAGACACTCGGTCCCCTGCCCAGACCCCCAGGACCTGGGGTGGGAGGCAATGACTGCCTCTTGTTCAGCGGCTGCCTGGACCTCCCATAGAACCCCCTCCCTCCGTGTACATCCAGAGCCAGGCCTGGGAGCGGGGAGGAGGCAGTTAGAACTTTGTGGCATACCTCCCTGAGCGAGATGAGCTGAGGACCACCGGGGAGGTGTTAATGAAACAGGGAAGCTGCCCCCAACCCAGGAGCTATTCCAATCTGACACCTCCATCCCAGCCCCCACTAGTAATGAGCTGGGACCTGCCCTTCTCCCCAGAGAGGGGGGTGAGGGGACAAGTCCTTGGGCATCTTTGCAGCTCCCAGGGCCTCCTCCCTTTGGTAATTGCCATGGCAATAGGGAGCTGGCATGCACTGAGCGCCTACTATGTTCTATGAACCACGTCCCGGTCATCCCTCCTGCAGTCCCCGCAGCAGCCTTCCCTCCACGTGGCAGACGGAGCAGCTCAGGCTCCCCAGGAGGCCCTTGCCTGAAAGAGTTCACATTTGGATCCTGATCTGGTTCCGAAGCCTGTGTTTCTTGGTGCTTTTGCCACTGTACACCTGGCACGGGCCCACTGAGGACTTCGGGAGGAAGGTAGGTAGAGGGGGCACTGGGCCTCTGGACATGCACACAGCCTCTGGGCTGCGATGGTGAATAGGGCACTGTGCCCACCGCTTGGCCACAAGTCCCAGAGCAGGGGAGAAAGAAGGCGGTGTGGGCCCCCGGCAGTGGGACCACAGGCCCGGCCATCCCTGGCCGTTCTCTGCGTGTTTTCCACTGGGGCACAGAGCCAGCCACCGCCTGAGAAAGGGGTTTGCCTGGAAAGCTTGAACACCCCGCCCGCCCCCCAATACCCGCCACACACACACACACACACACACACACACACACACACACACACGGAAGACCTCTGCCTCCCAACCCCCAGAGGGAGGGGCTGAGCCCTCACAGTGGAGCGCAGAGCCCCGTGTTTGTAAACACCATTAATCAGGGATTAGCAGATGGGCATGCTAATTGTACCTGTGGAAGCGAGAGACCTGGAGGTTGATTACATTTACAAACTGTGGGGCTCCCCAGGGCCTGGCCCTGTGGGAGGTGGGGGATCCTCATTTAGAATCTCAGCCTAAGGGGGTGGCATTTTAACCTCTGGCCAAAAGAGATTCCAGCCAAGGCCTGGGGGGAAACGAGGGGTGGGGGTGGGGGGGAAAACCCTTCCCCTGGCCTGGCGCCCCCAGTGGGGACCCTGTGTGTGTCTTCCCTTCCCCTCTTCCCCCCGCAGCTGGTGGCAGCTGAGTTGCCTTAACGAGAGGCCTTAAAGTCGGGGAGAAACTGAGGTCTGCCTGACAGCAGAGCGGAGCCCAGAGCCCAGGCCTCCGTCACCAAGCTTCATGGGGATTGTCGCATTAAACACTTACCACATCCTGCGATGCGGCTCTGCTGGTCTCCCCATTGCATAGGTGGGCAAGACGGAGGCTTGGGAAAGGTTAGCGGGGACCCGTCCACTGTTCCACTGCTAGTAAGTCATCCAATTGGAACTCACACCAAGCGCTGCTTACGCAGGAGGCTCACCTCTTCCCCTCCTCACTCTCTCTGCCCCCAGCCAAGCCCTGCAGGAGATGCTCACCGCCCCCCCCACCTGCCCAGGGCCCAAGAACCCAATTCCACGCATGGCACCTGTGCAGTCAACTATGCATCACAGAGCAGCCAGGCTGCGTCAGTCATCACGGTGCTGGGTGCCACCGGCTGTTGCGGGACCGGCCTCATCCTTGTCCTGGGCGTGTGTGGATTTGGAAGCAGTGTCTTGGACACGGGTGGGTGTTTCTGGAAGCTGGCTGCACACTGGAGGAACTGAGAGGCCTGGCTCCAGAGGTTCCCAGTTAACAGAACCAGGACCCGGGAGAAACCCATTTAAACACCACTGCCCTGGGCGCTTGGCTACGTGCCACCAGGACTGGGGAGGCCAAATACCGCAACCAAGGCTGGACACTCAACTGTGGTCAGACGGTGCCCTGGGGACCAAGTGCTCACAGGGACCATGCTGGAGTTTACAAAGGGCCTTCTTCCCCTTTCTCCACTTTAAGGAGGTCCTGTTGCAGATCAGGGAGGTCCACACACATTAGAATAAGGAAAGGGAAGCGTTTACCTGAGGACAAAGAAGCAGAAGGCTTAAGGAAGGAGGGGGAATGGACCCGGGAAACACAAGGAAGGAGGGTCTGTGCTGTGATATTGTGAGGTTTGCAACTAATGTCGTGAAACAAAGCGTGCATGAACTCTTGGATGGAAAAGTGGTCTGCCCCGAACCTTCACCCAATCCACAACAGGTGAAAACAAAAAGCTTGTGAGCTGCCCACCAGAGACCACTATGGACCCCATGGGGGATGGTGCTCTGCCCCCCCAGGCCCAGCAGTCCTTTCTAGGCTGCCATCTTTATGGAAACAGAGCCAGGGGGTAGGTTAAACCACCACCCTTTCAGTTAGCAGACAGAGCGCTTAACCACTCTGCCATGGGGCTTCTTAGAGATCTCACTCAAAAACCTCACTGTCATTGAGGCCATTCTAATACACGGTGACCTGACTGGACAGGGTAGAACCACCCCTATGGGTTTTTCGAGGCTGTAACTCTTCACAGTAGTAGAAAGCCTCCTCTTTCTCCCTCGAAGCTGCTGGTGGTTTTGAACTGCTGACCTTGTGGCTAACAGCCCCACGTGTAACCCTGGCACCACCAGGGCTCCCATAGAGAGATTTGAGGCACTTTAAAAATAAAATCGGAATGTTTTCATAAAGTGACTTAAATAGAATGTCAAAAGAAATGTATTTCAGGGGAAGGTGGGCGCAGTTGACTGTGGCAAGACCCCGAGTTCCTCTCGCCTTCCTTCTCCCCCCAGCAAAGCAGGAAGGTAGGTTATACCCATTTCAGAGAGGAGGAGACTGAGGCTGGGGTAGGTCAGGCACTTGCCCTAAGGTCTGTGCTCCACAAGGACTCTCACCCAGGGACACCTGGCCATGTGGAGGAGCCCTGGGTCATGACAGGTTAGGCTTCGGGCTGCTAACGCAACATCAGTGGTTTACGCTCACCATGCATGATGTGCTCTGCAGGGAAAAGATGAAGCTGCCTGTCCCTGCAGAGATTTCCAGTCCCCCGGAACCAGAGACAGAGAGAGAGTCGCTAGCATTCAGAATAGCCAGGATGACAGTGTTTCGATTGTTTGGTTTTGGCGGGGAGGGAAGGGGGGATTGGATTTTAGGGAGCCATGTCTTGTCAATATGTGTAGGAGGATTGCTGCCAAATCACTAATCAAACTGTGTAGTGGCTATTAGATGGGAGACCAGTTTGCTGTCAATCCTCACCCTAGTCGCAACAAGGTTTTTGTTTCTAATGTGGGGAACGGGCCGCCATGGACACTGAGTGGTTAGAGGCAAACATTTTACAGTGCACAGGACAGCCCCCCCAACAGAGAATTATTTGGCCCGAAGTGCCAATAGAGCCAAGGGTGTGAGAGTCTGCTCTGTGGGTTGTTGGCCTTGGCCTTGGCTACACACGGGACCTTCTGGGGGAGTTTTTACCTATCCCGACGCGCAGGGCGCACCCAGGCCAGCGAACATCAGACTCTAAGGTGGGTCCCTGGTATCAGGCCTTCCCTCACCAAGCTGGCAAGGTGGTTCCAGTGAGTGGTCAGGGTTGAGGAAGCACACTGCTGGCTCTGCTGCCATCTTGGGATCCTCAGGAAGTCTGGGATACAGAGAACATCATTCCTGCTGTCCTCACCACCTCACGGAAACATAGTGTGCGCGTTGGCTCACGGGTTCTTATGACTGAGGTGGGATGATTGACAGCATGGGACATTCAAAGGGAAGGGGGAGGAGGTGTTGTCCCTCTTCTCTCCTGAGGCCACAGCCAGGAATCCCGTCCCCCACCCCACCCACCCCAAGTGCTTCTGACAGCTTCCCTTAGAGGTTGTGGACCAAAGAGCAAGGCTGCCACCTACTGGAGGATGGACGGAACACCACACTTACTGAGTGCTTGTTGGACGATGTTTTTACTTGAGCTTCACAACCACCCGCGGAGGAAAAGGCAGACCAGGGCCTCAGCTCAGGCACAAGAGAGAGCGGTTGGCTCACACCACCACAACCCCAGGATTCATCCGAGTTGGTGGCTGGCGCTGCAACTAGGTTGGCTGACTCCACAGGAGGTCCCAATCCTATTTCTTCAAGCCCACAGCCAGACAGGAGGCCCCTAGGGCTGGGCTGCCCACTGCCCTCTTCTTTCTTGGAAGATCCAGAGACCAAGCCCTCTGTGCTAGTCCGAGGTGGAAATGAACAAGCTTCATCTCCGTATGCCAGGTCCGCATCAAAATAGGAAACTCAACTCCGTAGGTCTCCACGGCAAAAGCCCCCAGGTGCGTAACCCGGGTCTGGGCACACACTCACAGACTTGGCACTGCCCGCCCCCTGCCCTCCAGCTCACCCACACTCGAATTGGGCCATCCAAGGCAGCCCCCGTTCTGCCCGCCTTTTTCTGAACCCGAAGACAGTCCTGGATGCAGAGCCCCTTGGGGCCCTAGGAGCGTGGGTGAGGATTCTGGGGAGTCCTGGAAATGTGGCCCTCTTTCTACCTATGCAGCGAACTCCTTTCTCTGGCTGCAGATGGCGTGAAGAAGAATCCCTGCAGATGCACAGAAAGACAATGGGGAAGAGAGGGAGGGGAGGCTGGAGCTCGGAGCTCTTGCCATGGGCCTGCTGCGCCCACGGTCCATCCCCATCACCTCCTCAGGAAGGATCGTGTGCCCCATCGTGTGCATGGAGCAAATGGCCGACAGAAAGCCTACGGGACTTGTTTAGGAAAAGCGGGCCAGAAAATAGGCTGGGAGGGAAGCTACACCTGTGCCATCAGACACGCAGGAGACTCACCTGCAGCCACAGAGACATTCAAGGACTCGAGTCCAGCAGGCAGCTGCCGCCGGGGCAGGATGGTGAGGAGAAGCTGGCAGGAGGCCTGTACCTCCCGGGACAAGCCTGAGCCCTCGTTCCCTGCAGGGCCAGGGCATGAGGTTAGGGATGGCTTAGTGGGACACTTAGGTGTGCAAATGTACGTCTTAGAGCAGGTACCTACCTAGCACCAGGAGAGTGGGCTGCTCCCAGAGGAACTCCAAGCAGCTGGTGATAGGGATGTTGGGGGACTCCGGGATCTCGGGCCCAGGGCAGCCCACCGTGCCGGCCACGAGCCAGCCCTGCCGGCCCTTGGTCTACAAGCAGGAGACGAAACGTTATTTGCTCTTGCTCAGCAAATCTTCATCAGAGCCCTGGCCCAGGAGAACTCAGTCTGCCCCTTATATCGTCATTTACTTACCCTGTCAATTAAATTCAATGGCTACTAAGCACCCGGAATGGGCCAGGTTCAGTTCTAGGCACTGGAGATAAGATGGTGCGTAAAACAAAATAAAAAGCCAGAGTCACGGAAAGGAGGTCTGCGAAGGGCTCGTGGGAGTGGTAGGGAAGCGCGTGTATGCGCGTGCACGCTGAAGTGGAAGTCTCTCCCTCCGGGAGAGCTGCCAAACGCAGGGCAATACTGCCATCTTGTGTGCAGCACGAGAAGCACAGCTGAAGTGAGGCGCAAGGTTGGGGTCTATTTCTCATTTAGAAAATCTTATTTTGCTGCTTTGGGAGGACGAGCATGGAGTACTCCACTGTCAGGGAGCCTTTCAAACTGGGTCCCTTCCTCAAGGAACCGAGGCCTCCTCTCCACCAGCTCCCCACAGTTAAGAGATGAGACAGTCCTGGAACTTCAAGGTCACCCCCTTGCCAAAGGGGTCTAAAAGGCCATAGAGAAGGATACATAGCGACCTGCCCCCTTCACCCTGCCCCCATCGGCTCGGGCTCATTACCTGCAGAAAGCCGGCCAGGTCATCAGCGGAGTACACATCCATCACCTCCACTGCCCCCGCGCTGGCCTTGCTGACTACTGGGGTGAGCGGGCAGCTGCAAAACGTCCCCACCGCCTACATCAGACAGGGCAACCCCAAGCCCAGTGCCCTCCCCACCCCCACCCCTAGGGGGTTAAGGATGAGCGTGCGGGCGTTCCGAAGGCCAGGCTGAGAAACGACCCGGGAGTCAACGTGCTCAGGAACCCGGCTGCCCCTCCAAGTTGGGGGCACATGGGGGTACGGGGCGTCCGTGCCTGTGTCTGCGGCTAGTGATGACCTTATCCACTCCGAGGAAGTGGGCGGAGCGCAGCACGGCCCCGAGATTCCGGGGGTCCTGGATCCCCTCGAGGACGAGCCACAGCCGCTGGGAGTCGTCGCCTGGACTTGCCTCCTGGGCCTCAGTCCAAGGCTGGGCACGCAGCGGGCTCACCTCCATGCACACGCCCTGGTGGACCTGGTGGTGGCACAGGGCGTCCAGCTTCCGCCGTCGAGGCCACAACACTGGGATGCCCCGCGCCTCGGCCACCCGAAGCAGCTCGGCCCGCTCCCCGTGCAGCCCAGCTCTGCCGGCCTGGAGCAGGAGCCGCGCCACGCGACGGCGGGCAGCCCGCAGGGCCAGGGAGCACGGAGACACGCCAAAGAGGAGCTCCAGGCCGGGAGCCGAACGCCGGCTGGGAGCCAGGTCGTCGAGCAGCAGGCGGCTTAGCTCCTCCCCGCCCGGTCGGGGACGAGCCTCGTGGGAGAAGCGGCTGACTGGGAGGCGAAGGGAGCAACCTCTGAGCGCGCCCCGGACGAAAACGCGCAGAGCCATGGCGAGAGCTGCGCTGGGGACCTGATGCCCCCGGCCGCGTCTCAGTACAGTTACCACCGTCGGGTCCCGCTTCCAAGCGCCCAATACCGGGCGGAGGGGACCCTCACCACACCCACCCAGGAGAACACACAGCCCCCGCCCCAGACCCACACCCGACAGCTCAACCGCGACCGCCCATCTCCCCGCTCCCACGTGCACCGCTCCGCTTCCGGGTTCGCGCGGGCCCCTCCCCTTGCCCGGACTACACAGCGCGCATGCCCAGCCGCCAGGCTGTTCCCACAGCGCCCCCTGCAGGGCTGGATGAGCGGCGACCTTCAACGGGCGGCAGCCGCCCAGGAAGAGCGTAGTTGACCATGGGCTCTATTGTCACTTCACCCATGCCCCCCAGCAAGCCCTGGGTCCTCCACCTGCGCTCCGCCAAGCTTCCTCAAATGACAGAGGCTGTAGAGAGCTCTGGGTCCTTGGCTGCGGGGACTGCATTCACGCAGTGGCTGACAAAGGACACTTAAAAAAAAACAACACTCAAAACCAAACCCACTAGTCCTTTTGACTCAGGGAGACCCTGAAGGGCAGAGGAGACCTGACCCAGAGGGTTTCAGAAGCTGTCAATCTTGAGAGATCTTTCTCCCATGGAGCGGCTGGTGGCCTGACCTCTTTTTCTATTAGCAGTCCAAAGTTTAAACCACCCCCAGGGGCCCTTAAGGACATTCTCAGAGGTGTGTTACTCTTCCAGTTCACCCAAGCCAGTGTGGTGCCTCCATCCCCAGATGCAAAAAAACCCACCCGAACCACTGCTGTCAGGCTGATCCTGGCTCATAACCACTCGGGGGCAGAGTAGGGCATCTGTGTGAGTCTGGGTTAACTAAAGAAACAAATCCAGGGAGACTCCTATGTGTATAAGAAAGAGCTTTATTTTTTTAAAAAAAAGGAAAAAAGCTTTATATAAAGAGCAATTGTACATTAAGAAAATACCCCAGCCCAGTCCAGATCAAGTCCATAAGTCCGATATTAGCCCATAGGTCCAATACCAATCTATAAAGTCCTCTTCAGATTCACAAAACACATGCAATGGCGCTGAATGCAGGAAGATCAAAGGCCAGTGGGCGGGAGGTCTGTGGATTCATCAGAGGTGTAAGCATCTCAGCGCTGGCAAGGGGTCTCCACATGGCTTCTCCAGCTCAAAGGCTCTGGCTGCCATCAGCCTGTCTCCATGTGTCTTGCCAACTGCAATGTCTCCCAGGGAGTGAGTGCGTCCTGCCTGCAGCGAGCTATATAGCTCCTTAGCGCCTCCAAATGAGGTCATCGAATTGCGATCTGATTGACAGGCCAAACTCCAGCCTTTCACTCTTAATCCTCAAATTGACAACAGAGTATGTAACTAGCACAGCATCCATGTCAGCACCAATGCTGGGAGACTGGCCTCCAGATGCCCTCCCCATGCCTTGTCAGACCAGCCCCACCAGCCACCATGACTCCAGCAACAACTTCCTGTCCTGCGGCCACTCTCTTCAGAAGTGACAGCTCTACTCCCGTCACACCCTGCTGACCAACCAGCTGATGCCCTTGGCACACAAGTAAAGGGTAGCTCCCCTTGCTCAGCATTCAGCCCCCATCTCACTCTGGCACCAGGTTCTGTGCAGTCCCTACAACACCGCATGCTCTTTCGGGCCTCCCAGCTGTGTGCCACGTCTGTCTGCTATTCTGGCTGGAAAACTCCTGCCTACTTTAAGACGCAGTCCCAGCCCACTTGTGCTGTTCACGGTGGTAACCCAACCTCCAGGAGTGCTGCCCCACAGCCACCCACCTGCTCTCTCACCTGAGAGGTGTCCTGAGACACAATCACCCTGGAGAAGGCGCAAGAATTGATAATTGAAAATCACTGGAAAGCCAATGTGGGTTGCTTGAAATCTGTCTTTTAATTTCATAGTGAAATGCACTGGGAGCTGGGCCCTGCTATTCTGATGCCATCATCCAAGGAATGGCCCCACCCAGGCTAAGAAGCCCAGATTGGGCTGGGGAGCTGGGAAGGGAGCAGGGACGCTGGGAGTGGAGGGAAGGAAGACTGGGGCCCAGGATAGCCATTGGGATGTCAGGTTACCCACCCCTGAGGGCAAGAGTTGGGGAATAAGATTGGCCTCCTCCTGACCCCTGCTCCTTTCCCAGGCAAAATGGAAGCAGGGTACTGGGGAGAGCAGGCACAGGCCAAGGATCCCAAGCAGGCGACTGGGAGCATGTGAAGGGGTGAACCAAGTTATCTTCTCTCCCAAGCTCACTTTTCACATTTGCTATGGCAACCAATTGATAATTTAACACCCCCCCACCCCCCAACATCTTTGCTAGCCCCTGGTGGGAATGAGGAAGGGAAGTGGAATCCAGGGGTCCAGAGGCAGGAGCCAAGCCATGGGGGCGCGGAGCAGAACTCCCCACAGGACACTAGGTCACCTGCTCCGTGGGCCTCAAATGGATGTCTCCGATCTGCAGAAGGCACAAGGCTTGAGGCACAAGCCAGGGCCCCACTTCCCCCGTCGGGCCGCCCTGCTCCCCCTCCTCTGGGATGGCAGGGCACCTCAGAGAGTCCAGGTCAGACTCACCTGGACGTGTGGGGGACTGCTGAGGACATAGATGACCGCCTCGGCCACATCCTCCGGTTTGAGGCACTGAGACACCGGGGACAACGGTTGGGGACAGAATGGACTCAAGCCCCGCCCCCCCAGCCCTCTCCAACATCCACATCCTCACACTAGCCCCCCAGAACAGGGTGGCTAGAAGGGTGGGGGTCTGGAGACCAGGGGTACCTCTGCCTACACTGAGACAGGAGTGGCTTTAGCCGGCCCAGCGGGAGGCCCCACCTTCATGTGTTCATAGGTGGCAGCTGCCTTCTCAGGGTCCTTGTCATGCAGCTTGAAGGCGAACTGTGTCTCCACCACCCCTGGAGAGATGCACTGGGCAACAGAGAGACCGGCTTGAGGGCTGAGCTCTGCCCCCACCAGAAGCCATGCAGCCTGGGAGGTCGGGACAAGAAGATGGAAGTCCCAGCTCCCTAGAGAAGGCCGCCCAGTGTCCAGCACCACCTCCTCCCTCCAAGGATCACAGTGACCCCTGCCATACCGCGAGTGCTAAGTGTTTTGCAAAGTGATAACCTGGACCTTCATTCCCGTCTCACCAAGGAGGAGAATCAGGCTTGGAGAGCTTGAGTGATTGAGTGCCCAAGGTCACGGTTGTGGCCTTCCGGAAGGAAGACGAGCCCAGAGAGGGCGCTCCAGCCTCCTCATGCCCCAGGCTCCTGTGATGCTCTGCCTTCCCTTTCCTCACCCCTCCCCTGGGTTTCTCTCAGCTTACCACCTCCCACCTCAAAGTGGGGCCAGGTCATCAGCTGGCTCCTGGGGAAGCAGAGTCTACGCCCAGCACACCCTGGCCTTGGGCTTCCTGGACAGTGTGGGAGGGGTCCGTTGCCCACCCCACCCCAACCAGGGCTAGGCCAGGCCCTCACTGTCGCTCGGATGTGGGTCTGGGCCTCCCGAAGCTCATGCCGCAGTCCCTCTGTCAGGGCAGTGACAGCGTACTTGGTCGCACTGTAGAAATGGATCACAGGCTGGGGTTGCACCTGGTGGCCAGACATGCTGATGGAGAGAAGAGGAGGAGGGCGGAGGGAGGTCGCTGGAGGCTGGCTGGTCACATGGCCCACCCCACCCAATCAGATCACGAACTCACTGCCCATATGGTGACAGGAATGCCTTCTAAAGGGGACCTCGGATTGACCATCTCCATGGCCCACAGGTCTAATTTGTTGGGTCGGCCAACTTCAGGCTCTTGACATGGTCCTGCTTTCCGGTCTCACAGGATGGCCAGGCCCCTCCATCCCACCTGTGTGTCCACTGGCCTGGTTCTAGTGGGAGAACACTCGGGCAGGGGAGGGGGCCACATCGCCACCATCAGACTAGACGCCCCTGATGGCAGAGTGTGCAGTCCTTCTTTCTACCACAAGGAGGCTTCAGCCCCGGCCGGTTCAGCCCCTGCAGGGGAACAGGTGAGCCCCAGGCTTCTGCAGCCAGGAGATGAGTGCCCATTTCCCGCTCCTGGGGGCAGTACGTGGCACGCGCAAACATCATTCTTGCGCCCATGCTGTTTTCCCTCGGATGAAATTTACGTTCCAAGAAGGTCAGGTGTTGTGCCGCCTCTGATCGCCTAGCGCAGAGCCCCCGGCCGGCCGCCCGCTCTCACCAATTGATGTTAATGATGTGTCCATCATCCACCTTCCGCTCCTTCATGGACTGGTAGGCTTCCCGTGTGCAGATGCTAAGGGCCAGCACATTCACCTGCGGGCCAGGGAGGGGCATGGGGTGTCTGGGCAGGTGAGGGAGCCCCAGCGCACCCTGGAATAGGCCGGGCACCTTGCCTGCCACTCAAATGACCCTCCCCCCAGGTGAGAGAAGAGGCAGCTCTTATTCCTAGCGGGGTCGGCGCCACCCTACATGTCTGCAAAAACATGGCGAAAACCCCTCACCCCACCCATAACCTGGACGACCGCAGGCTGGCTGCCATGTCTGCAAACAGTAGGCCATCTGCAGAGAAAACCACCTCCTCTCCCCTCTGATTCCTTCTTTCCTGGGGGGCACCGGCCTGCCCCTGCCTTTCCTAACCCCACCCACTGCTGTGGGTTCAGAGCGACCCTCTAAGGCAGAGTAGCACTGGCCCCTGTGGGTTTCAGAGACTAAATCTTTAGTCTCCTCGTTCTCCCTCAGAGTGGCGGGTGGGTTCACACAGGGAACCTTGCCCAAGTCCTTTCCTCAAGTCTCAAATCCCTCCAGAATGGCTGGGAAACCTCTCAAACACAGACGAGCTCTGCCCCATGGTAGTTCCCTACTCCTTCCTCCCCGCCCAGACACCTGCCTTTCACCTGTGTCTGCCTTTCACCTACAGTCAGACCAGGCCAGAAGGAAGACTCATTCCGAGAAAGAGCAGGGTCAGAGGAGCTCCCAAGGGCACAAGGGCTTGTGCCTTCCTGGGCCCTGCCCACCCCTCCTACTGGCTCTGGCAGAGTGACCCCAAACTGCCAGCCTTCAGGGAACAGAAAAGCCTAAAGCAAGGTATCTGCTGCCCCGCCCTCGTAGCACCCGCCAGGAGGAGCAGCAGAGATAAGCCCATCAGCAGGTCTTCCTCCTCCCTCCTCAGCCTGGGGACGGGAGATGCAAGGGAAGCAGCTGGCAGATTAGATGTTCCTCTTTATCAGGGCGGCAGGGACCCAGGCCTGGGGAACAGGGCACCCAGGGTGTGAACTGCTCGGCCTTCCAGAGGGGAGTGGCAGAGACAGCAGAGGGCAGCAGAGAGGCAGGGGCAGTGTTCTGGCCCTCAGCAATGTGGGGGGTTCCAGGGGCAGAGGGGGCTCAGCTCCTGAGGGCACAGGGAGCAGGTAAAACAGCCCCAAGGCCAAATAGGTGGACCTCCTCAGTCTGAGGTCAGGGCTGGGGGAGAAGGCGCTTCCTCAGAGCGCCCTCAGGGCATCAGAGGGTGTCTCAGCTGACAGGGACCTGAGGGATCTAAGGCTAAGTAAGTTAAAGCCCAGGCTCAGAGACACCCTCTCACCCCCACACCCCCAGCTGCAGGTGAGGCCCACTCTCTGACTTCCCAGAAGGCCTTCTGCAGGCAAGGCCCGTGCTGGCTTCTTCCCTGCCCAGGTCCCACGCCTGCTGTGGGTGCTAGCTCTGTCCCATCGGCCCCTGACTCATGGCCCCCAGGTCTCAGAGCAGAACTGCTCCAGAGGGTCATCTTGGCTGTAACCCCCAAAAGAGGAGCTTGCCAGGCTTGCCTTCCTCCGAGCCAATGAGCGGACTCAAAGTGCCACGCATTCGGCTAGTGGCTGGCTGCAAACCATGTGTGCCATCCCGGCTCCCTGCCCACTTCGACAACTACTTTGTGCTACTTCAACAGCTGGCACCTGTGGGAGACGAGCAGCACGGACCTGCGGCTTGGGGACTCTCCCACTCCCATCCTCTGCCATCACCCCTGAACACAGTCCAGAGGTGGCGCACACACCCCCGAAAAGCTGTGCTCCACCGGGGCCATCTTAGGACAGTGGGCAACATGTACAGGAAGGTTTCACTCACTCAATTCAATATCTGCTGAGTGCTTAAGGCAGAGGTTGCAGTAGAATAAAACAGACAAAAACCTTCCCCTCTGAGAGCTGGCATTTGAGTGTTACCTGTGGGTATTTGGTGGATACCCCAACACTCATCCAGACTCCCCATTAATCGTGAAGGAGCCACAGCATCTGGCCACATGGGCCCACGCTGGACTTCAGATGGTTTCGAAGGTTGGGGACTCTCCCTCTTGAAGCACATCCCCCTACCACCACCATCACCACCCCCGCCACCCCCGCAACTGACCTGGCCCCTGGGAACATTTGCGTTTAAGACTGCAGATATTGACGCTGTGGGTGTGTTCCTCCCAATAAACAGTGCTAAAACTGGACAGGAGAAGAGGGAGCAGGACAGCCCAGAATCTCTCCATCAACTCCAATCTCATCTCGGTCCCTTCTCATCCCACAAGACCATGTTCCCAAGCACCGCCAAGGAGCAGTCCTCTTGGGAGTCTTCTCTACCAACTCTTCCTCCAACAAGAGGCCATCGCAGCCCAGACATGAAGGACCACCCTGGGGGGCCCAGTGGAACCAAGGACAACCCCCAGAGCCCTTCGTCCACTCACCAGCCTGGGCCCACAGGAGGAAGCAGCCAGGACAGCGCGAGAGCCAGGGCAGCTCTGCTAGAACCCGGCAGTTCTCGCTCCCTAGGACGCCGATCCCCCCAGCAGCCCGCTGGTTCAGCACTCACCCCTGCTCCCAGCCCCCCAACCCCGCATCCAGCCTCTCGCCTCACATTGAACATGTCCTTCCAACCGCTGGTGCTGCCTGACAGTAGTGTGTCAGGCCGGGCCAGGCCCGCGTTGTTGATGCAGATGTCCACGCCGCCGTGCTGTGAGCGGATGGCCGAAAACATGGAGAGGATGTCCACCTCGTTGGCCAGGTTGCATCTGTAGGGGATCAAAGTCCCGGGGTAGCCTGCACTCTTACATTCGGCAGCCAGCTCCTATGAAACCCAATGGGGGTCTGACTGGGGTGAACTGTTCACCCCCACACCTCCCCACCCAGAGCGATGGAACCCCTCCCGTCAGTCACTACTCAGAGTCGGCCACTCCAAGAAGGGTACAAAGCCATGGATCCTTTACACGTGGCTTTCCTTGCCACAGTCTTTTCGCTGCCACCAAATAGCTAGTCTCACTCCCTGCCATCGAGTTGATGTCGACTCATGACGACCCTGAAGGGCACAGTGGAACTGCCCTGTGGATTTCCCAGACTACAACTGTTTACGGGAGTAGAAAGCCATAACTTTCTCCCGAAATAACTGAGTGAAACTCCGCAGATGAAGTGCCTGAGGCCCGCAAAGGGGCTTGGTTCTAGTGCTTGCTAACAAGACAAATAAAGTGGGAATGAGTTTGCAAAGAGGATGTATGGAACCCTAACAAGAGGATTAGTTCATTTTGCCATCCCACTAGGCTTAAAATGAGCTGTCTCAGAGGCAGACAGGGGAAACCCGACTATCACCAAGAGAGGGGAGTGGAGGGCATCCTTTGGGCCTGGACACCCTGTGCTGAGAACCTCCTAGACCCGGGAGATAGAGAGCTGTAACACCAGACAGAGACGGCACAAAATGGTGGCACAGGGTAGCAGAAAAAGAGTGGTGGCATCACCAGGAGGCCAGCGTGAGGCAGTACAATGAGCTTTCAACCATGGAGCCAGGTGGTTACAGTGGGCACGCCGCAGAGCAAAACAGGTGAGCACCTTCAGGAAGAGCGAGGTGCCTCTGGGCATTTGTTGGTGGAGCTAAAGAACTGGGGAACACTAGCCCAGGCAGGGCAGAGGCCAGGCTGACCTAAGAGGCCAGGGGCCAGGGAGAGGCCCTGGCACAGCTGAGAAGCTGTCTTAAGCAAAGAATTCTAGCTCATCTAGAATTGCAGAACCTGTGATGGCCCTACGAAGCCCCATAGCTATGAGTACAGTCTGTGCGTTCTTCGTGGCCACTGCCACAAATGATCAAACCCACCAGAGAAGGAGAGAGTGTTATGGGGGGGGAGACCTGTTGTCAGAATTGCTTAAAAGGCTCCAAAGTGCGAGGAGGGTGAGCGGGTGGGGGCGGTGTATGTCTGCCATCCCTCTGTCCACCTCCTCGTCTTGGGCTGTTGATGCTGATAAAGATTCTCCTCCCCTCTTGTATTAGAGGACTACAGCCCCTCACCATTTTATAAGACAGAAAGGCTGGGCCTTCAAGAGGGCTGAAGAAGGGGAGCAGGGACCCTAGGAATAGCGTGAGATCTCGCCTGCCTCTCCCTTGACAAGAACAGCTCTTCGGTCTATAGATAGGTGAGAAGCACCTCTCACCCCATGCTTCTTCCACCAGAACCAGGGGTCACTGAGCTGGTTAAGCCAGAGCCTCAAGTCTCATCCCCCATCACCTCACCTAATCTCTCCTGGAAGGGCCACCTGAAAGGAGGAGCACCGGCCTCCCCCCTCCCCCACCCCAGCACCAACTGCAGCCAGTTGGCTCTAGAGTTCTCACACATACTTCTCCATCGAGCCCAATGGTCCATTTCCCCTCTCCCTCCCTACAGCAAGGGTGGGAAATTCAGGACAGACTCTTTTTCGGTGGCCCCAAGAGCACCACCCTCCACCCCAGGGGAAACACCGACAGAGCAGAGCCAGGGAACAGTGGCCATGAGGGAGGTGCCATCCAGGAACAGGGAGAAAACAAGCTGTGTGGTCTTGGTGGCCAAAGGCTGGGCCTTGGAGCCTTGAGAAGGTTGCTGTGTCCCCGTGTATGTGTGAGGGGCGGGCCACCCTACAGGACGGTCAGCTGGGCCAGTTGTCCTGGCCTGGAGCCCCTTCCTCTCTGCATGCCGAGCGGGGGAATAAAGGGCTTGATCAAGTGAGGCAGGAGAGCCTTTTCTGCTTTTAACTTTCTGAGCGAGCAAAAGGTTTCATCCCCCAGGGCTCAGAGGCCCCCTCTCACCCAGTTTCACCCACTCGCTGCCACCTCAGGAGGAAGATAAAGCCCACGGGTAAGGCTGCCACCTCAGGAGGAAGATAAAGCCCACGGATAAGGTCAATGGATCACCTGGAGGGCAGAGTCCGCAACTTCCCCCTTCCTCCCTGACTCCAAGTTCCCCCTGGGAAAGTTGGATGGAGGGGCGAAGGAGATCAACCTCACCCACCGTCCCCGCCGCCTCACCTGTGCCACCTGGACCAACTCCCCACCACCCTCAAAATGACTTGAAATCCTTTTAACTCCCTCACAGCAGACACTCTGTAGTTTCTTGGGGCTGAGTGATCAGCCTGGGGGGGTCCTCTCGGGGTTCATGGAGCCCCTTTCCTTGCTGGGTTGGGGTAGGGAGTAGGAAGAGAAAGTAAGGGAGACTTTAAGATGAGGAGAACCAGTCCTCCAAACTTGCTCCCCTGCGCTCCAAAGCTGAGTATGGGAATGACCCGGAAGTCCTCAGAATAAGGGAGGGGGCAGGGCAAAGTGGGGCTAAGGTAGAGCCAGGTGACCTTGAGATTATCTGGAAAGCTATAAAGTGTACCTTTGGCCAGCAGCAAGGGAAAGGCAGGTCCTTCCTGTATACCTTCTCCCTCCATCTCCACCCAAGGCCTCATGTCCCTTTCTCTGCCTGGGGACTTTGAGCACTGGTGGAGATAAAGTCCTGACAGTCAGCACCATCTCACCAGGGGCAAATGCTGCAGCGGGAATGCCCGTTTTCTTCTCCCTGCTCGGACAGGGCCATCTTTCTTTGAGCTCTTGCTGCTCACAACCCTCAGGACTCCCAGCCCCATTTGAAAAGAAATCAGGAGTTCCATCTGCACACTGCTCTGCCCCCTGAGGTTCACATGCTTAAGGCCAAATTCCACTTCAGGCCCCGCTGAGAAAAACAAAACCAAGCCTTATTACTGATTGGATTCTAACTCACAGGGACAGCAAAGAACCGCTCTCTGGGGCTTCTGAGACTGTACTTCTTTATGGAAGCAGACAGCCTCATCTTTCTCCCTCGGAGCAACTGGTGGGCTTGAACCTCTGATTTTGCAGTTAACAGTCCAATATTTCATCAGTTGAGCCACCAAGGCTCCTTAGCCCCACTTACCGCAGCGAAATTTGAAAAAGCTTTCCTATGAATATTCCATTCATGCCTTGTTTCTATATGGTGTGGCTTAACCCTTCGACGTGGGGGTCAGGGCTGAACTTTTTCAGAAAAACTCCACTACCACCTTGAAAAGACCCAAAAGCCACTGTCATCGAGTTGGTTCCGACTCATGGCGACTCTGTGGTGGCATTATTAAAACCATCAGAACCTCCGGCTACTGCTCTTCTGGGGGGGCAGCCAGATTTTGCCTGATTTGATGGGTGAGGTCTAAGGAGCGCCGGAAGCAATCCACCAAGCCAAACTAAACCACTGAGGCCAGAAAGCTCGCTCGCTCTCCTGCTCCTCCGGGGCTGCCCCAGCCACCGCAGATCCCGGGCGGGCAGGGGTCGGGGAGAGAAATTCGGCAGTACCGGTCAGGGGAAAGAGCTCCTTAAAGACAACCCAGAAAGGAGCAAAGGTTAGAGTCCTCCCCTACTAGGCTTCCATCCCTCCTGCCCCAGAGCCTGCAAAGGGCCCTGGGGTGACAGGCTAGAAAGGGGCAGCAACCCCGCCTGGTCCCTGGGATCACCCCACCCCCACTCAGAGCCCTACCCCCCGCGGAAACGACTCTCGTAGCGTCCCCGTTCCCGACCAGGCCTTACCTCGATGTTGCCGACAGTGCGGGCGCAGCCCACCACCTTCAGTCCCTGTTGGACCAGGGCCCGGGCCACCGCCGCTCCTATGCCCCCGGAGGCGCCCGTCACCAGTGCCAGCCGGTCACGCCACCGCTCCATGCCGGCCCTGGCCATGGTACTAAGCCGCCCGCCCACCTTGATCGGTGAGCCAGGCACTGGGACCGGGGAGGCCCGCCCGAAGTTCGAGGGCCCTGATGGCGCTTTTGTCACTGCTGCTGCTCCAGGCCCCAACAACCCGGCCGGGTCCAGGTTGCTGTTGGACCTTCCCCCATCCCGGCCAGCCCCGGGCTGGGGCTCCACCCCGCGGCTGTCGGCGTCCAGCCACATCCCCCGACGGCCGCGGACGGCCACGCCCCTTCCGGCCCACGTGCCAGCCGAGCCACCCCCACCACCACCACCAGGAAACTGTGCCCTAGGTGGTGCCACGGTACCACGGTGCTATGTTGCTCCGCTTCCCCAGGAAGCTCTTCCCCATGGGTCACCGAGCTTCAGTAGGGGGCTTGCTCTAGTCCTAACGCTGCATAACCTGTCCTTCATGCTCAGTGCCCCTCCCCAGTTGCTTACCCTTCAAAGCAGCTTTCTACTCCCTTAGTTATAATCTCATAGACCCCCACGGACACTTCCACCCAGTCTTATGGGGTCTCTAGGAGTCAGAAAGAAAACCAAAATCCTCACAACTACGCCAGTGGGTAACATACTGTTGAACGGAGAAAAGATTGAAATTGTGAAGGATTTCGTCTTGCTTGGATCCACAATCAATGCTCACAGAAGCAGCAGTCAAGAGCTCAAAAGACGCATCGCACTGGGGAAGACCTGTTGACAAGCAAAGAGGTTCCTCTGAGGGCTAAGGTGCATGCACCTAACCTAAGCCACAGTGTTTTCAAGCAACTCATGCTGCATGTGGAAGTCGGGACCCTGACTGTCAGCCCAAAGAATCGATGCATTCGAATTACTGAAAGCACTGCACCACGGGCGGCCACCAGAACAATGCTGTCTTGGAAGTACTGCCGGGATGCTTCGAGGCAAGGATGGCAAGGCTTCCTCATACGTCCTTTGTACTTTGGACGCGTCATCAAAGACCAGTTCCTAGAGACAGGCATATTTGGTAAAGTAGCAGTGCAGCGAAAAAGAGGAAGACTTTTTAGACAAGACAGATTGGCAGTGGGTGTATGGATGGGCTCAAACATCTCTCTCGTGAGGATGGCACAGGGCTGGACAGTGACTTATTATTGTACATGGACGCTGAGTTGGAAACTAACTCAGTAACACCTAACAGCATGTCAGAATTGACTCATGGTAGAGGAAATATCCTTAGGACATGGGGCCCTGGTGCAGTGAGTTAGATGGGCTTCTAACCTCAAGGTCAGCAGTTCAAAACCACCACTCTTCAGGAGAAAGTTGAGAATTTCTACTTCCAGTTAGTCAGGGAAACCTACAGGGGCAGTTCTACTGGGTCACCATGGAGAAGCCCTGGTGGCCATATGGGTTAGGTGTAGGTCTTCTAACTGTAATGTACGCAGTTCAAACCCATCAGCTGTTCCCAAGGGCTGTCTGTCCAACAATGACTTATGGTGAGTTTGGTTTCTTACTGGGGCTAAGGAGCAGCCTGCTCCTTGTTAACCCTTGTTGGGTTAAACACTGGGTTGCTAACTGCACGATCGGTGGCTTAACCCCACTAGCCCCTCTGAAAAAGATGAGTATATCTACTCTAGTCAAGATTTAAGCTCAGAAATGCTAAGGAGCAGTTTTTAAAGGGTGGCTGTGAGTTGGAATGAGCCAGATGGGATTGGGTTTGAGGAGAGAGGTACCCTTCAACACCCTCCCTCAACCTGAAGGCCTCATCCCAGATAAGCCTCTGCCAATACTGGGTGGGTTTTGTCTATCTCCCCAAAAGTCCCTGCGCCCTACCTGACATCCCACTATTTTAGCCAAGGGGAATAGAATGATTACTAATGGAAACGTTGCCATGTGCATGTGTACTGGGAGACTTCCTAAAGGGCTTGACTGGCCCTGCCTCCCCCACACCGTAAGAGAAAATGTATCACCACGCACACCAAATATGCAAGCAGTAGTTAAGTCTGGTTTCTTTTGAGCACTGTGACAGACACTATGAAGTACTTGACATATAAGGGTCTTTCAAATAGTGGGAAAATGGAATTAAAAACTATTTTCCTCGGAATTTTTGGAAACCTCTTTGTATACTAATTCATGTAATCTACACAATTACCCTGAGATGGATACTATGAACTTTAAAGGTATGCCTCGTGGAACAGAGTGGTAAAACAGGGTTGGGGGAGCAACAAGTTGTCTGGGGCAAGGGGTATGTATGCTCCCACATCGCCTTCAAAATCCCAATAGCCCCAAAAGGAGCAACTCAGAAAGAGAACGGGATTATGAATGTCACCGAACTGCAGATAGAAATGGTTATGTACTATGCTGTGTACATCACCAAAACTGAGGGGGGAACCACACTCACACATTGGCCCTTCTGCTTCTTCTAAGGTTGGTACCGAGTTCAGAGTGGAACCCACTTTGCTGTTGAACCACTCAGATGCCATCAGAGTGCTAGAAACTGCCTCTCTTCTGTATTAGCAGATCCTTGCAAAGAGAAGGCCCCTTCCTTCTCAGTATCCGCTGGAATCCCTCCCGGGAAGGTAGTAGTAGTGCACATGGTTAATTCCAAAAGCATTCATTTTCCTATCCTATGTTGGGGCCAAGAACAACATTGAATTAAAAACCAGAAGCAGGCCTTACTTTTAGAGGTTCTCAAGAGAACACCTGGCTGTAAAGAGTGGTGGAGAGGGAATTTGGCTTTCAGTCAAGGAGTACAGGAGTTTAATTTTTTTTATGGATTCCAGGATGAATCAAACGAATGACTGGAAATGACTCATCTTACTTCCACTCCAATCCCTTATACACTAGATTTGACAACTAAGGATGTGAAAGAACTGCCACCAAATATAAAATTTCAATCTCATTAAGCTTCTGTTTCAAACTTGAAATCAGACTAGCCATCTAATTAAGCAGCTTCAAGCCTCTAAAACTCCTCCATCCCCACTGTGCAACAGTCCCACTGCTGTCTGCTGCTCTCCAAGTGTTATCAACACGCAGGAACAAAGCTCCAGGCACATGTTTACCGAGCCTTCCAATGGCAGCCAAATGCTACCCCTTGAGGAACCACTTTCCTTCAGTACTCAGTCAGCCTGTGACAGCTGCAAGCTGGAATGCCACACTGACTTTATTGTCGGAAACCAGATAAGGAGCGCGCGCACGCACACACTCTAGAATTCAACCTTGCAAGTCTGGCTAGATCAGAGGATGTACACTGGTACAAATAGGAACTGAAAATCCAGGGAATCCAGGACGGATGAGCCCTACAGGACCAGTGGTCTGAGTGGCAATACTAGGAGGGTAGAGGGAGAGTGGGTAGGAAAGAGGGAACCAATTACAAGGAACTACATGTGACCTTCTCCCTGGGGGGCAGACAACAGAAAAGTGGGTGAAGGGAGACATCGGAGAGGGCAAGATATGACAAAATAACAATTTATAAACTATCAAGGGCTCATGAGGGAAGGGGAGCAGGAAGGGGGGGGAAATGAGGACCTAATGCCCGGGGTTTAAGTGGAGAGGAAATGTTTTGAGAATGATGAAGGCAATGAATGTACAAATGTGCTTTACACAATTGATGTGTGTATGGATTCTGGTAAGTTGTATGAGCCCCTGATAAAATGATTAAAAAAAAAAAAAGGCGCACACACTCTTCTGCAGATCACAGTAGGGTTAGCAATCAGCGCTGCCTTCTGATTCCAGTTTTAAATGCCGAGTAATTATCAGGCAGCCACTGGTTGAAAACCTGCCAATTTTGGTTTTCACTTTTCTGGGTCAATATGAACCTGCGAATTGAAGATGTGGTGTATTATGCGGAGAGACCTTGGTGGAGCAGTGATTAACGCTTGCCTAGCAACAGAAATATTAGCACTTTAAACCCAGCCACTCCACTCAAGGAAGCTGTGGCAGACTGCTTCCTTAAAGACTTCCGGAAAGGCGATGGGGCAGTTCCATATAGGGTCTGTTCTATAGGGTCACTTAAGACCCCAAAGCAATGAGTTTCTGTGTTACCCCAGAGAGGTTTTTAACAATAGTACAATCTCTAGAGAAATTAAGTTGCTACCCAGTATTTGAAAGTATTGCAGTGAATTTATTTTTTCAAAACTTGAGACTTCTTTTCCAGGTTGTCAGTTCTCTTCAGTTCAATCTTTACCTCTATCCTCATTTTCTCTTCATTCATAACAGCAACACTGGTCAAATACTAGGTCTACAAGAGGCAACTATGAGAAGACTATGCCCCACATCAAGCAGAAACATGTACACCAACATTTACTATGCGTATTAATAAATATTCTTTATTTTAAATTTTGCACATTGCGCTTCAACATTACATCCAAACATTTCGCAAGTGGATGTCTACTTTGTAAAACCATATATTCAGCTCATTGTCATTTCTGTACAGAAGTTTAAGTACAACATTACTTTTTGCCACTAGGTTGCTTTAGTAAGTTTCACAGGAAGAGAAACATTTAATGAAAAGAGATGGCTTAAATCATATGGCAGGCCTGCGCAGCCACGCAACTAAAGAACTAAGGAAGGTACCTCCACCATCTCCCCAAACAAGAAAATCACATTGACTTAAGATAAAATGTTGCGATAAGTCACTAAATTAAGGTTTTTGAAAGAGAAGGCGCAGTAGTCATCTTGAGTGTTTCATTGAAAGACAGAGCTATTTTATTTATTTAATTTGCTCCAGCTGTTGTCAACCAGCCACTACAAATGGGCCTCTTGTGATCATTTAAGCGGCAGTATTTATTAAATTTCTCCTTCAGATGCTGTCGGTATTGTTCTCTATTGCTGTAGAAAGACTGGTTATTAGCCATAAATGACTGTATTTCATCTTGCGAGATAAAGATTTCGTCATCTGAAGTACATTCGGACTCATCCTGAAAATCAAAGCAGTAATTAAGACTATGACTTAAATTAAGCCTAGCTTTTTACTTTCAATTCAGTTACATTAAGTCTTTAATTGAGATGTTTACAGAATAAGCAGCACGTCATTCTGCAGAGGGTTTGATTACATTAGGACTTCCTCGAATAGCTTTGAAAAAGACACTCCCCTCTCTCATCCCCAGTACCACAGCACACTAGGCATTAAGTCACCTGCCATCGGGTATAACTGACATACATTCTGTAAGACTTCCCAAGTTCAGTTGTGCT